CTGGGACTATAGGCACCTGCCACAATGCTAGGCTATTTTTAGAAACAAGGTCTCTCTCTTGCTCAGGCTGGTCTGTAAGTTGTGCACTCAAGCAATCCATCCCACCCTGGCCTCACAGACAGCTGGGATTATAGGTGTGAGCCACTGTGCTATTTCTCTTGAATTGCTATAAGCCAGATCTGACTTTCTCTGCTTTAGTCACCTGGTCATCAAGAACTTTTCAAGAAGCCTTACGGTTTTCTTTATCATTTATTTATTTATTTTAGATTTATTTATTTATTTATTTTTGAGACAGAGTTTTACTTACTAGCCCTTGGTAGAGTGCTGTGGCATTACAGCTCACAGCAACCTCCAGCTCTTTGGGCTTAGGTGATTCTCTTGCCTCAGCCTCCCAAGTACCTGGGACTACAGGCACCTGCTACAACACCTAGCTTTTTTTTTGTTGTTGTTGCAGTTTGACCAGAGCTGGGTTCAAACCCGCCACCCTCAGTATATGGGGCTGGCGCCCTACCCACTGAGCCACAGGCGCCACCCTCTTTATTTGTTTTTTAAACTTCTAAATATATATATATATATATATATATATTTTGGAGATGAGTTTTTGCTATGTTGTGCAGGTTGAACTCCTGGGCTCAAGCAGTTCTCTTGCCTCAGCCTCCCAAGTAGCTGAGTCTACAGGTGTGGCACACTGCACCTGGCTGAGAAGCTGTACATACCTGAAGAACCCATAGTTGTGGGTTTAAGGAGAGCTGGCCTAGTAGCAGGAGTAGATGCTGCAGGAGTCTGGGCTCTTATGCCTTTAGAACCTGTGTACACCTGATGGGTATGATCCCCTTCCCCTCAAAGATGGAGTGCTGCTCATTTGCCCACCTTTATGGCGTGATGTTCATGATGGATTGCTCAGACTACAGGGTCACCTGATGTCCCATGGTTAGCCATTCAGTCTCTGCTAGAGCCCAGTTGCAAGCCAACAGCTCTTCTCAAAGGAGGAGTGATTGTTCCTGAATAGGACACTACCTAGCTCTATATTCCTAGGGGTGCGTTCTGTGACTCTCTTCTTAGGGCTTGACAGAGGCTGCAAGCACAGCTTATCTGCCACAGACACTTTGGCCCCACTGGATCTGCTAGTCTGTAAGTTCCATTTGGGCAGAGCAGCTTTTCTACAGCTTGGAACAGCTGCAGAGCCTTCCCTGCTATGGACATCATACAAAACATATGGCCTTACAGTGCTTGGGTAAAAGTTTAGAAGTAATACTTTCAAATGTGGTACAAGTTGCCTCCCCAATCCAAGGAGGCCTGAAATTTTAAAGGGCAAGGTGGTGCTGAGAAGAGACAGACCACATCCAGCACGTTAGAGTGGCTCTTTGTAATCGTGCTCTCCCATGGAGTAGACCGTGTCATACTCACGAGCATTGTAAAGACTTGACTTCTTTGGTGGTCACATCTCTATCCTCATTAAGTAACATCCCTGTGGTTTAGCTTCAAAACTGTAATGAGGACAGCTCTCTGAATCCATTTGAACCTCTGTTCAAAAGAATGATTGATAGTGCCGTTTCTTTGAGTTTGGTTTTGCATTTTATGGTATGTAAAGAAGCTTCTGAGTACTTTTTAAGTTTTAATAAGAATTAGCTTTGTTCTTTGGACAGATGTGATGCCAGCATCGCCAGGCTCTCTGCAGAGCACAAAACGACCTATGAGGGGCTCCAGCACTTGAACAAAGAACAGCAAGCTGCCAAACTCATCCTGGAGACAAAAATCAAAGATGCAGAGGGACAGGTATGACCTGTTTCAGGTGGCATTTAGCTAAGAATAACATAGTCTTGATTATTTCTTACATGAGAAACCAGCTGGGGCTGGTAAGATGCCTATGTAAACGAAAGCATCTTCTCTTTTTAACTTCTTCCTTCCCTATTTGATGGGAGAAGCCCTTCATGAGCCTGGCAACCAAACCTCCAACATTTTTCCGCATAGTCCTAACTACAGGGATTGTTTCCCTTCATTCCTGAAACCATATATTTCAGAAATTCTAGGTTTCATCTCTAAAACTCGCTCTTACACAGCTAAGTGGCCAAGCATTGCTTTACACCTCACCCTTCCCAATCTTTGGCTCAGGAAATAGTTACCGTATTCACTGGGAGTGATCGTGGGCACTGCTCCGTCACACAGTCTGTTTGTGGGACAAAAGTAGGACAAAGCTGGAGGGTAGGCTGGCTGAGGGATTCGAGGGTATCTGACCTTGACATTCACAGATTAATTTCACAAAGCAAAACTCTTGGCATTTCACAGTTTGTTTTTTGGCCACTTTGCCATAGTAGGTGTTGTTTTCTAGGACTTTTCCCATAATATCTGCCATATTTGCTATTCTTCATTGAAAGAGACACTATTCTAGTAAAATATGGGCATTGGGTCAATTTATTGGATTAAAAATATTCATTCCCTAACTATACCTTCAATCATGATCTAAAGCTACTATGTGAAATATATATGTATAAAAAATAAAAAGACAAATCCAGGGGGCAGTGCCTGGGGCTCAATGAGTAGGGCACTGGCCCCACATACTGGAGGTGGTGGGTTCAAACCTGGCCCCGGCCAAAAACTGCAAAAAAAAAAAAAAAAAAAGGACAAATCCAATACTTTTTTGTTTTTTGAAGAATGAGGATGGAATGAGTGCACCAGAAAATAGGAAGAAGACCTTAAGCTTCCTGGTAGGTAGCCAAGCCAAGTAAAATATATACAGAAGTTGATCAAAAGAGGCATACTTTTTCATTATTCTGGATCTGAAAAATACCATGAATTTTAGGAACATTAAACACTGTAATTTTTGCAGAAAATGCAGACATCTCACAAAGGCCTAGTTTAACCTTAAGTGTTAGTAAAAAGACACAGGAATTTAGTTGGGAAGGTAGTGGGGGAGGGAGCAGAGGGGATAGGGTCTACAAGTCCATCGTATTTACCAGTGACCTGACTTGATATGGAGGCAGATCTGGGACCTTAATGGATTTTCTAAATGATAAAAATTCCATTTTCTGTGACTAGCAGCCATACCGATGGTAGAAATTCCAAGGTGTTGACCGTATTTCATGCCAGCTGGTGGAACTAGTGGCCCTGGGCAGGGAACTGTGAAGTGCTGGTGTGTGATGAATATTTTGGGAGTGTTATCGGTCCTGATTTTGACGGGTGTGTAAGAGGGAAAATGGAGGTGGGAAGATAAAGTGAACGCCTTGATGAATTTACTAAATTGGATTGGATCTCACTGCCTTTAGTAGACTATGGCTTACTTAATGTTTTTGGAATTGACATCTGAAGAGGAGGTCAGATGGCATATTTATAAACAAGGTTTCCTTCCCAGATTTCTCAGCTTCTGAACAGAGTGGACTTGTCCATATCAGAGCAGAGCACCAAACTGAAGATGTCCCACAGAGACAGTAACCACCAGCTTCAGCTCTTGGACACTAAGTAAGTCATCAATTTGTAAAAAAAAATTTTTTGGTTGAAGTTCTTTGTGAGCTTATGCACTACATTTTTTTAATCCTCTTGGTTTTTATTTCTTACACAAAGTGAAAACAAAGGAGAAGTTAAAAGGAGAAGTTTCCTCGTAGCGTGTTGCCACGTTTTCTTCGTAATGATTGTTATTAGTTTTATAGTAATCCTTGTGTTCATTTGGCAAACACTGGGGGTCCATAAAGTTCACGTGCAATTTACTATGTTAAACTATTTTAAATTTCACACCAACTTTGTGTCCACCCTGTATTTATTGAGTACTGGCCCAGGGACTGAGGAACTAGTAATGAACAAAACCCAGATTCCATTCTTTTTTTTTTTGGCCGGGGCTGGGTTTGAACCCGCCACCTCCAGCATATGGGGCCCGGCACCCTACCCTTTTGAGCCACAGGCGCCGCCCCAGATTCCATTCTTATCCTTGAGGGTTGACAGTGTGTGGAGCTGATGACCATTAATCAAATAATGACTTAAGCATATGCAACATGCAATATTACTAAATATTAATCAAATAATGACTTAAACAAGCATATGCAATATTATTACTAAAGGTAATAAGGCTTTAAAAGAAAGGCACATGGTAGTGGTAAGCTGAATAAAGGCTCACCAAGTATCTCCATATCCTCATCCCTGGATCTGGTGCATATGTAACCTTACGTGGCAAAAGGGACTTTGCAGATATGATTAAGTGACAGATTTGAAAATGGGTAGGTTATTCTGGGTTAGCTGAGTAAGCCTGATGTGATTACAGGCAGGAGGGTCCGAGGCGAGAGAGGAGGCTGAGTGACAGTGGAAGCAAGACTGAGGGATTCACGTTGGAGGTGGGGGAAGGGGTTATGGGCCAAGGAGCACAGGTAACCACCAGAAGCTGCAAAAGACAAGGAAATGATTCTCCCCTCAGAGCCTCCAGAGGAAACCACCCCTGCACACAACTTGACTTTACCCCCAGTGACATCTAGCTTCCAGAGCTGTACATTGGTGTAGTTTTATGCCACCACATCATGGTAATTTCTCAGAGCAGCCACAGGAGACTAATATCACGGTGCTGTCAGAGTAACAGAGACCCGGGTGTGGGGACTTCCTAAGGAGGGAAGTTTGAGGGGGAGAGCTGAAGGATAGATAGGCTTTGCCACATAGAGTAGGGTGAGGATGCATGAAATTGGATAGCTTGTCGTGGGAGCAATGTGGCACACAAGAAACTGAAAGATGGTGAGGGTGGCTAGAAGGGAGGGTAAGAGGAAGTGGTGGGACATGGGAGGCTGGCAAGGGGGTGGCCAGCGGGCAGGGGTGGGTTCTGTGACTGTGGTAGAAGCAGCTAGAAGAGGACGGAGTGAGAAGGGTTAATGTGTTCCTAATCAGAACTCTGTGAGGAGACAATAGAGTAATTGAGGCCAGGGAGTATCTAAAGAGATGATGGCAAATAATAATACAGAATTGATGATAGAGAAATCTCAAATTCTGAAAGCCACATAATGCATTCTAGTAGCATAAGTAAAAAAAAGAAAAAAAAGAGAGCAGACACTGATCAGAGTAAAAGTGCAGAACACCAAACATAGAAAGGATATCTTAAAGCGGAGAGAGAAATCACACCAAGGCTGGAGTCCCAGCTGTGTTAGTGGGGGCTGGGGGGAGGTTGGTCTCATTCCTTCAAGGGCTGAGAGAGCATGATTGTCAACCCAGTGACAGAATAAAGGTCTTTTAGGCAAATAAGAACTGGAAGTTTACTAATAAACCTTCAGATAAAAGAAAAATAATACAAAAGGAAGGTCTGAGATAAAAGAAGAAAGGATAGGCACAGAATGTGATACGTATGGGCAAATCTAAACAAATGGTAACATTGAGGTCTAACTTGTGGAGTGTCAAAACACTACACAACCAAAAATCAGACTATCGACTTGTAACAACATATAACTTAGGAGGAAGGTTTCCGAAATTAAAGTGTTCTAAGGAATTTTTTTAGGGTCAAATTATAGGTATTGAACAACGTCAGGTTTTGCTAGATTAAGTGTATATATGACAGTTTCTATTCTGAAAATAAAATCAGAGTATGTAATTCCCAAATGTTAGAAAAAATCCAGTGGTTGAAAATTCACATAAGAATTGCCGAAGCGTTGGCAAGGATGTGGAGAACAAGGCCTCTTTGTACCATTGAGCAAAATGTGAGGGAGTAGAGCCACTCTGGGAAACAAGAGTAAAGTTGGACATGTTCATACCCTAGGGAAACTATTGCACATGAGAATTAGGAGTTATGTGTTAGTATTTTTATAATACTGTTGATTTTAGTTTTTTTGTTGTTGTTTTGTTTTGTTTTTGAGACAGAGTGTCACTCTATTCTTGCCTGGGCTAGAGTGCGGTGGTATCAGCCTAACCCACAGCAACCTCAAAATTCTGGGCTCAGGGGATCCTCCTGTCTCAGCCTCCTGAGGAGCTAGGACTACAGGTGCCCATCACAATGCCTGGCTAATTTTTTCTGTTTTTCATAGAGCAGGATCTTGCTCTTAGCTGTGAGCCACCATGCACAGCCCATAACATTGTTAACATTGTTATTTTTAATAGAAAAATTGGTGAAGACAACCAAAACAAGTATCTGTCAGGAGACAAATGGATAGATGGTGGTATATTTGTAAAATGGAATATTACTCAACTGTAAGAAAGAATTAGCTACAACTATACACATCAGCATGGATGAATTCCACAGATACAATGTTGAGCAAAAAAAGAATCTGTAGAAACTCACACTGTATTATTGGCCCATTTATGTAAAATTTAAAAATATGAAATGCTGAAAACTGTTTTAGGATCTGTCTAAATCAATAGAACAAAATGGTAAAGAGTAGTAAATTTCAGTTACTGGGCTCTGTGCCTGTAGCTCAGCGGCTAGCCAGCCATATGCACCGGAGCTGGCAGGTTCGAATCTTGCCCAGGCCTGCCAAACAACGATAACTACAACCGAAAAATAGCCAGGCATTGTGGTGAGCTCATGTAGTCCCAGCTACTTGGGAGGCTGAGGCAAGAGAATCTCTGAAGGCCAAGAGGTTGAGGCTGCTGTGAGCTGTGACGCCACAGCACTCTGCCAAGGGTGACATAGACTCCGTCTCAAAACAAACAAATAATAATAATAAAAAATAAATTTCAGTTAATGTTTTAGGATCTAAATTTTAAGAACAAAATGGTACTTACTTCTTGGGGTGTGGATTGATTGCGGAGTATACTCGGGACCTTAAAAGCCTGTGTTCAATGTCCGAGGCAGGCTGGGGATGTGTGTGTTAGGGTGCAGGCTAGCTTCAGTGCTGTGGCTGTCATGTAACAGAGGCGAGATCAGTGGTTCAGAGTGGCAGGGCAGCACCCACAACTCACTGTGGTTTCTTTATGGCTCTTGGTTTCTTCCTAGTCAGCTGGGACAGGGAGAGAGTCTAGGCAGCGGCATTGGTTTTTTATTTTTTGAGACAGAGTCTCAAACTGTTGCCCTTGGTAGAGGCCGTGTTGTCATAGCTCACAGCAACCCCAAACTTGTGGGCTTAAATGATTCTCTTGCCTCAGCCTCCCAAGTAGCTGGGACTACAGGCGCCTGACACGATGCCCAGGTATTTGTTTTTTGTTGCTGTTGCAGTTGTCATTGTTGTTTTAGCTGGCCCATGCTGGGTTCAAACCCTCCAGCCTCAGTGTATGTGGCCAGTGCCCTATCCACTGAGCTACGGGTGCCACCCAGCAGTATTGTTTTTAAAGATCTAATTAGAAAAGTGTGCTTATCACTTCCACATGGATCCCATTGCCAGACTTACTTGTGCAGCGATACCTCGCTGCGAGGGAGGCTGGCTAGGCAGCTGTGTACCTAGTTAGCATTTGAGGGCTTCTTAATAGGGAAGAAGAGGAGAACAGATAACGCAGGACAAATAGTGGCTCTACTACAATGGATATTCATGTTATTATTCATTAAATCACATGGGCCAGGTGTGTTGGCTCACACCTGTAATCCTAGGACTCTGGGAGGCCAAGGCAGGAAGATTGCTTGAGGTCAGGAGTTTGAGACCAGCCTGGGAAAGAGCCAGACTCATCTCTGCTAAAATTAGAAAAAATTAGCAGGGTGCTCACAGGGTGCTGAGGCAAGAGGGTCACTGGAGCCTAGGAGTTTGAGGTTGCTGTGAGCTGTGATAATGCCAACTGCAATTTAGCCAGATGACAGAGCAAGACTGTCTCAAATAAATAAATAAATAAATCACATGACACATTCTGTGCTTTTATTACATATCATAATAAACATTAGAAGAAAGGGCTGGGTGTGGTGGCTCATGCATGTATTTCCTAGCACTCTGGGAGGCTGAGGAGGGTGGATTGCCTGAGCTCGGAGTTCAAGACCAGCCTGAACAAGAATAAGACCCTATGGCTCAGCGCCTATAGCATAGTGCTTCAAAACCAGCCCAGGCCAGCTAAACAACAATGACAACTGCGACAAAAAATAGAAGGGCTTTGTGGCGGGTGCCTGTGGTCCCAGCTACTTTGGAGGCTGAGGCAAGAGAATTGCTTAGGCCCAAGAGTTGGAGTTTGCTGTGAGCTGTGACCCTCTCTACTGAGGGTGACGTAGTGAGACCCGACCAAGAAGAAAAATAAAAAAGAAGAGTAAGACCCTGTCTCTACTAAAAATAGAAAAACTAGCCAGGTGTAGTGGTGCATGTTTGTAGTCCCAGCGACTCAGGAGGCTGTGGCAAGAGGATTGCTTAAGCCCAAGAATTTAAGGTTGCTGTCAGCTATGACGCCACAGCACTCTAGCAAGGGTGACAGAGTGAGCCTCTATCTCAGAAAGAAAAAATTAGAAAAAAGTAAGAGGAAGTGGCGAGCAGTTACTATAAGGAATTTGGAAAGGGAGAGGATGACAGGAATAGAAGGTTGGGAGGTTTTTGGTTTTTTTTTTCCATTTTCCTTTTGACTTAAATTAGGAAATATCCATATGGTGCAAGAGCAATTTGGGGAACATTAGTGAGAAAGGGAGCCAGGCTCCAGTCCTGGGAGACAGGAGGGGCAGGGAAGAAGAGCCTGGGGAAGGAGGGGAGCCTGGAAGAGGAGATGAGAGGCGCTATGTCCTCTGAGCCCGGAGCACCACGGACACCCAGAAATGCAGAGGGTGGCACCTGGCACAGCTCTGTGTCATCACGTGTCACCTCCGTGCCCGTACTGCCACTTCTCATGGCCAGAGGTCATCACCCGCTGCTCGTCTGTCATATCTCCCTGCCTTTGTTCCTTCCCAACTTAGTGCTGAGTACTTGAAAAAGGTAAGCATGTAATTCTGATCGAGCTGAGCTTAATGCTAGCATATTTACCAGAAATCTGATATGGGGAAATCGAGGTG